GTCCTCGGCGCCCGATGGTCGGGCAGGTGTCGCCAGGATGGCGCGTGGCGGTCCCCTCGCTCCGGCGCCGGGCGGCCTGCTCCGTAAGTTGCTCGCGTCAGGAGGCAGGACAAACTGGTGGGTGAATTAGGCCCTCGGACTCTCTCATCCCGTTACTCCTTGACAACACGTAACCAGCTCAGGTTTGGGTCGCTGGCGAAGGACTGGCTGGGGCCTCCTGCAACTCCGTGTCTGTGGTGGACTTTGCCCTCCGTGAGGGCAGGTTGTCTTTGTGTTTGGAGATGCTCGGCTTGGGAGCCACAGTTGGTCGTTCAAAACAGGTTGCGGTAACAAGTGCCCGCGGTATTGTCCGTAGTTCCTCTACCCGCTGAAGTGTGAAGGTGTACCTGTACTTTCCGTCCAAAAGGACGCATGGAAACGGAGAATCCGGTGGTTTGCAGTGAATTAGCTGGACTGTCTTGCCAAGTAGTCTGAGCTTCTCACTTCATCGTTTTTGCTCCTCGTTCGTTATGGTGTATATTGCTGGTCAGAATGTGTTGTTAATTATTGGTGGCCTTTACTTTTCTGCACATCGTGTACTAATTATGTAATTTCTGACATGGCAGCTTTGAGTTCTGGAAAGCATTGAGTATTCAGAGCGTGTGAACTTGTCGACCTCTAGAACATAATGTGAACGCGAGAAAAGCTGTCAGAAGATGTTAACTAAAGATAAAACAGGTATTTGAATGACCTTCCATAGGTTCATCCTTCTAAACGGTTGCCTGAAACACATTAGAATTGTTATAGGAAATAGTACATATAGAAAAATAATACTGAATGTTCTTTACCAAGTTTACGTAAAGTTAGTTAAAATAAGCAAGTCCTAATATACCTGGCTGGTTCATTCAGAATAGCTTTTTGGCTTAGTGAGTTATTGCCTGAGAGTATTTGGTCTTTCAGAGAAATCCTTCCTCAGAGTAAAATGCCTTACATATGTCCTTTTATTCCCTAAAACATCCAATTTACATGTGTACTACCGAGTAATAGGTGTTGGTTTTGTATCATGTACATACTTACATTTAACCAATAGAAAGAGATATGCCTGTATTGTCCATAGGCAAAGCACTGCTAAAGGTTAACTTGGAGAGTGTCTTGAAAAATACGGCCGAGCTTCTCCAATGAGTTCAAGAGGTACTTCATGCTTATGGTAACGCAGCTAGTTTCAAAAATTTCAGTTATGCAAGGTTAATTTTTCATATTACTTATCAAGAAGTGTCTGCTGTTGCTTATGTAATGGTTTGCTTATACTTCTGTGCATGTGCAAGGTCAGGTAGTTTTTTTGTTGCTGAATGGTCTAAACATCTTGTTTAACTTGCTTTCTCAAAAAGCTTCAGCTGTTTTCTAGTTGAATGCTCGATATTGCAGGAAGACCTCATGTCTTGCAGTCAGCACAGATGTGTGGTGCTTCTTCTGTAGGTTGTCTGTACAATGACACCAAGGGGTCACACTTGCCCTTGCTTGCCCTGGAAAGACAGGGATCTTTGAGCTGAACCAGTGAGTGTGATGATGTCTGTTTTCTGAATGCTATTTAAGGTACAGTGAGCTGCTAACTTGTTCCTGATACAATAAAAGAGCAGGTAACGTGATCTGAAGATATAAATCACATGGCAAAATAAACTACTTGTAAGTACTTGCGTAATGTAGCGGTGGGAGCAGGATCAGGTCCCATCCAGAGCACTTGATGCTAAACTTGTTTTCTAAACACTCTTGTTTTTGGATGTACATCATGTATCTCTATCCTCCAGAGATGCCTTATGTGGAAGCTGTTTGCTGGATCACAGATATCTTTGGTTCTTAGTTACTTGAAGGTTGGATTGTAACAAGTACCAAGAAATATAACGTATTAAACGTAATAAGTTTGATGCATGCTGCTGCAAGCCGTTGATCATAAGTATATCAATGCATAGTCATTACTTGAAGCTTCACCGCAGGGCTTGAAAGCTACCAATATCTGCGAGCCGTTGGTAGATTTGAAAGCTGGTGATGGAGATTGCTTACCGCATTTGAACCTAGGAGACGTAGATACATCATGCTGTTGGGGATCCATCTTTTATTTCAGCCTTTGAATGGCAGATGATCTAAGCCCTTCTAGACTTCCCCCACCCCTTACACCTGTTTGAAAAATACTTTATGAAAAAAGAAGCAAGGCAGATTTTGGGAGGGCTTTTGATTTCTGGTTCTACAGCAAACTATTTCTTCTTGATCTGTCACTTGCTCTGATTTTGCTTCTGTTCACTTTCTGTTGTATGGAGGTCATGCTTTCCTGCTTCACATCTTGTTGAAACATACTCTTTTGGCCTAAAGAGCTCATATGCTACAGTGATGGGATTTGTTGCAAGTACCTGGGCGAGAAACTCGTTTTTTCTCCTTTGCTGCAGGAACTCCCGGTAATAAGTGAAAAATGGTTTTGTGAACTCTTGCTCCCAGGCTTTGTGTTCTAGAAAGCCTTCCGCCTGATTAGCTAGGTTTCGTCTGCTCTTTCGAAAAACTGTGAGCAGCATGTAGTTCTGAGTGGAGCCTGTGACTAGGCTTGCAAACTTCACAGCATAAGGTAACATAATGGCAATGTGATGAACCCATGTGACAATAAGCAGGAAATAATTATTTTCAATGAAATACCTGAGTTTTCTTCCTGTTCGTTAGAACGCCAATGAAGAAAAGACCTCTCAAGGTTCTTCTTACAAGTCAAGAGAAAGAGAGAGGAACTTCCGGCCTGAGCCCGTAATGGTGATGTGGGCGGGGTGCATAGCTCGATGATGTGAGAGTTCCAAGTGTATTATGTTCCAGACCTGAACATGGACTCATGACTCCTTAACTCCTCCAGCAGCTGTGTCACTCCCTTTCATGAGCTTTACTTCTGCAATTGAGGGTGTTGCTACCAGAGTGAGGGCTGTGTCCTTAGTTTTGGGCTTCTGTGTTTTCGTCTGTTGTATGAGTTCCAATACCCAATCCGTTGTTCTACTTACTGTCTGGGTGTTTTGGGGTTTTTTTGTTGTTGTTGTTGTTTTCTTTTTGTTTTTTTTTCTCTCTTGCAGTAGCAGCAGTTTCTGCTATGGACCCGGAAAGTCTTCCTGAAGCATGTTTTAAAAACATCTTTAGATAGATCTGATATTCCTGTGAAATTTTTTTTCCTGTTTATTTTTGCTTGTTGTTTAAATCATTTTTATCAAAAAAATTCTCAGGGGTCTCAGGTCTGCCTACCTGCTCTTTTGCTTTTCCTTCCCCGCATTTGCATATAGGCAAATGACACAGGCCAAATTAGCTACTAAGTGAAAGCATTGCGTTATTATGAAACCTAGTTAATTCATGATCAGTATTTGGTCAGAGTCTTCCTGCACGTATTTGTAGTTTTATATTTCCCTTTTCTCTCCAGTTTTACTCTTCCATTTGTCTGGGAAGCCTAGAGAAGGATACGACGCTGCAGTAACGTAATCCATGAGCGAGTTTTGCTGCTTTGCTGCTGAGAAAGTTGGCTCTGCTCTTTCCTGGCAGGTCCTTCCCTTCCTGCGCTTTCCCTTCTCTTGTGCAGCAGAAGCACTCACACAGCCACATGTACACCACGTAGTAGAAGACTCGTCTGCATTAGAACTAACCTGTTTTTTGTTCTAGGGTGGAGTGAATTTGCATGGCATGGCTTGATGTAGTCTAGTGGTTTGCCACTGCTGAAAGGGAATTTTGTCCCGCCTTCCTGTTCCTGTTGCTTATTTGAACTCGTTCTGTGATGCTCCCTGAGCACGCGCTAAGCAGAAGCATCTCCCTTGCCAAGCTTTAAAAGCAATGTGGGGAATATAAACACAAAGCTGGGAATGGAGGTGAGAGGAGGGAGGTTCCTGGATGATTCCCCCACAATCCAAACCCGGCCGGACCGGCGGCTGGGGTTGGTGTGGTTCTTTGGCGCCGTTCTGGTGCTTGTAGACTTAGAGCTGTCTCAACACACTAACTCACCAGAAACGGCTCACCTCTTTGTGGAGTGGTTCTCTTCCTGGTTTAGCACACGGGCATGGCTTGACAGAAGGTCCGTTGAACACCGGTGTCAGCAGTGAGGAGAGAGCAGGGCTATGACAGCCTGTAGTTGGGCTTAGATAGCTAACTGTAACCCCGCTCTGATCCTTGATCTAGTCTGCCCTTGCAACTACATAAATGTTTTTTGGCTGGCATAGGGAGGATGGAAAATGTTCAAATGGGAATGAAAAGGCAGATGTCGAAGGAGGACAGGACAGCTTTAGCAGTACGGCTGGATTAATACACTCAGGGAATTAAAGTATAAGAGAAGTAATGCGGTTGATAAAATGCACATAATGGTCAAATTCCCAAAGAAAACTGCTTAAAAAAAAAGACAAAAAAGATTCTTCTGATCTTTTTCGTTAGAGTAAACCTGAAAATCCTAACAGATACTTGTCTTATTAGTAGACAAGGACCAGTTTTCAGACACACAAGATTTTTTATGATGGTTTTCCATTTAAAATTATATTGGAAGCTGAGATTACCCAAAACTTCCTAAGGGAAGCAGGAGTCCTCATAACTGGTGGGTAGGCAAGTGGTTTTTTTTTTTTTTTTCCTCCAGCAATTCTTAAGAAGAGAGCTGGTAACGCCTCTGTTACGAACGTGACGGAGGTGACGTGGACTGCTGTTAATCTTTCTCTTCATTAAAAACTGACAAATAAACCTGAAAACCCATAATTGTCCAATGTAAAACTGTCTCATCCATAGCACTTGGTAACTGTTAATTTAAACACAGTAAAATTGCTCAAGTATTTATCTTGCCTATTTCTCACGTGTGCTGTACGCTATTGGAATATACAGTCTGTTATGTAGAGAGGTGTTCACCTAGTAGAATGCAGAGTAATAGAAATAAGGTGGTGTGAGCTGAGTGAGTTGTGGTTTCCTTGGGAACTATAATTTTAAGTTTTGTGACTAAAGCCAAATTAGTTTATGGTGAAGAATATAAAATGTCTCTTCAGGTTAAACAATTATTTTTTTCTTAGTATTCCTTTTAACTGATTAAAATAAAAAAGACTGACTACTTACCCTAATTATGCATAGAGAACTTGATAAGGAGTAAGATTATTTTTTTTTCCTTTCAATAGTTTACTTTGGTTTGTATTTGAGAAATCTCTAGCTATGATCCTTTGGAAAGCATGCAGGCAAACAGCCTCCATTTCTTGACGTCTTTCGAGAGTGACAAAGTGAATGGAAATTTTTTTATCGGTAGTTTCACATGCATAGTTGTTTTTTTTTTTAACCATGCTAATAACTATTTGCTTTTACTCTGCTGTTATATATGCAAACACAGTGAGTTTGCTGACCTACGTTACTAATTTTTGCACTTACCTTCTGTTAATCACAGCTTTGTTACAGATTCATCTTTTTTGTTTTTCATGACATGTATTTTTAAGGCAATCTCTAGCTCAGTAAGCTTAAACAAAAGGCTCTCTGTGGAAAAATGCGATGCTGAGTGATTTTGTAATTCTTTGCTTTACGACAAAACAAACCCTGCAATTTTGAAGGCAAAACGTAAAGTGTAAAAGAGTAAGAGAATGGGGAATGCCTGAAAGGAATGACGATGTTTTACCCGTTACTGAAATAGCAGCACAATTGAGGGATTGTAACTAATGAGGAAAACTTTATTATGCTAAGATTGCCTACGTGCACTCATAGTGCTTCATTTGATAATATGC